GCATGAATATATGCCTATAATAATGCAAAAACGCATGCCTAAATTAATGCATATATTTATGCTCAGCCAAAAGCATGAGTAAAATATGCAGATAAATATGCAGATATACAGATAACTGTACTGCTGAATGCATAAACGAATCCACAGATAAATTCATCAAGTGCTAAAAATAAATCAGAAATAAATGCATAAGTGGATGCATAACATGCAGAAAATAAAGCAGAAATTAATGCACAGATTTTCCCAGAGATGGGTTGCAGCTGGAAGGGCATCCGCTGCGTAAAAACGTGCAGGATAAGTTGGCGGTTCATTCCGCTGTGGCGAACCCGGATTTATAAAGGGACTAAGCCCGACAAGAAAATGAATGAATTAATTAATGCACAGATAAATTCATAAAGTGCAAAAAAAAAAAGAAAAATAAATAAATAAATGCACGAATAAATTTATAAAATGCAGTAATTAATTCATAAAGAAATACATAAAGGCAAAAACTGAACCAGAAATAAATACAGATGAATTCAAGAAGAGCAAAAATTAAATCAGAAATAAATGCAAAACATGCAGAAAATAAATCAGAAATTAATGCACAGATAAACTTATAAAGTGCAAAAATTATATTAATAAAATAAATGCATGATGTGCAAAAAAAATTAACTAGAAATAAATGCATAATGTGCTGAAATTAAATTAGAAATAAATACATTATGGCAAAAATTAAATTAGATATAAATGCAAAGATAAATTTATAAAGTGCAAAAAATAATTAAGAAATAAATGCAAGATGTGCAAAAAATTTTAATGAATTAGAAATAAATGCATAATGTGCTGAAATTAAATCTGAAAAAAATACACAATCGCAAAAAATTAAATCAGAAATTAATGCACTTATCAATTCATAAAATGCAACAAAAATATCGGAATTAAATGCACATATCAATTAATAAAGTGCAAAAATGTTTTAGAAAATGCAGAATGTGCTGAAATTAAATAGGAAATAAATACATAATGGCAAAAAATAAATCAGAAATAAATGCACAGACAAATTCATAAAGTGCACATAATTTATCAGGAATAAATGCACAAATACCAAAAGTGCAATACCTTAGTAAGAAATAAATGCACAGATAAATTTATAAAGTACAAACAAATATTTATAAATAAATGCAGAATGTGCAGAAATTAAATAAAACAAAAATAAATACATAATGGCAAAAAAAAATATCAGAAATTAATGCAGAGGTAAATTCATAAAGTGCTGAAACAATATCAGAAATGAATGCACAGGTAAATTCATAACAAGCAGAAATTAAATCAGAAATAAGTGCACAGGTAAACTCATAAAGTGCAAAAATGTATTCATAAATATAGGTATGATGGGTTGAAATTGAATAAAAAGCTATACAAAATGGCAAAAAAATTATAAAAATAAATGCACAAATAAATGTATACGGTGCAACAATTAATTCATAAACAAATACATAATTGCAAAATTCAACCAGAAATAAATGCACATGTAAATGCACAACATGCAGACATCAAATCAGAAATAAATGAACAGAAAATCTCATACGCTACAAACATTAATCCATAAATAAATGCAGAATGTGCTGAAATTAAATCAGAAATAAATACACAGATAAGTTTATAAAGTGCAAAAACGAATAAATAAATGCATGATGTGCTTCGTGAATAAATGCAGAGCATGCAACAATTAAATAAATAAATGCAGAGAAAATGTAAAAACTGCAAACAATAAATCACAAATAAATGCAGAGATCAATTCGTGTGTGTGTGTGTGTGTGTGCTGCTTACACACAGGCTCATGAGTTTTAATATATATGTCATACATGATAAAGCACATCACACACACACCCACACACACACACACACACACACACACGCTGCTCTCACACTCCTCCAGACTCTGCAGTGAACATAAGCTGTAAATATTACACTGAAGGAGATTTACACCCATTATGAAGAGCTCGAGCTCAAAACAAACACACACACACACACAAACACACAAACACACACACACTCACACACACACACACACAAATCCAGTGTGTCTTTTAGAGAGGGGGGAGGGAGAGTGTGCGTTGTGTGTATTTGTGTAAGAGAGAATGTGTGTGTGCGCATATATGCAAGAAAGTATAAGTGTGTTTGTGCACCTGTGTGTGTGTGTGAGTCTGTCTGATTGTGTGTATGTGTGTATGTTCGCAAGGTGTCAGTGTGTTTGTGTGCGCCCACACGTAAACAAGAGAGAGTATCAATGTGTTTGTTCATGTGTGTATGTGAGTGTGTATGACTATGTGTATTTGTGTGCGCATGCATGCAAGAAGTTATCAATGGGTTTGTGTGAGAGTGTCTCTGACGGTGTGTGTGTGTGTGTGTGTGTGTGTGTGTGT